TCTGTGGATTGGTTGCTCTGAGTGGGAATATTGTCCTCAAGGCTTGGTGGGCCAGGATGTGCTCCACTCTCTTCCTCCCCCTTTATTTGTACCAGTGTCCAGCACATTTTTAATGCAATTTTTGTGGTAAAATTAGGTGCCTCAGCTGATATTCGGGTCGGCTTATACTCGAGTATATACGATAATCCTTTTTTAACCTTGGTACAAAAGCTAATTAAGACTTTATCCACAAGCACTTAATGTATAAGTTTTATTTCTACCTAACTACCTTATTACATATATTTATTTTATTTTAATCCTCAAATTCTTTTGGAAAGAGTATAAATTACAAGTAAATAAAAGGAAAAATCTTCCCTTTTAAAAATTATTTCATTACAATTTAAGGTTTATTTGAACATGACAGAAGTCCTGGTGATACAGTGATTAGAACACTCAGTTGCTAACTGAAAGGTTGGTTGTTCCAGTGCTCCAGGGAGAAGGATGTGGCAGTCTCTTCCATAAAGATCTACGGCCTAGGAAACCTTACAGGGCAGTTCTGTTCTGTTCCACCAGGTTACTATGAGTTGACAGCAGTGGGTTTGGGTATTGGGGTTTGGGGACTATATATTAATTTACTACTCCCACTACCATCAACCCATAGTGACCCCCTGTGGGTTTCTGAGTCTGTGACTGTTTACGGGAGTAGAAAGCCCAGTCTTTCTCCTAAGAACTGTCGTTAGTTTTGAACCGCCCACCATGTGGATTGTACCCTAACACGTGACCACTACACCAGACAGTAGTGAAATCTTTGTTCTGTGTAAATTAGCTAGACTTTGAAGTCTCCCTTTCTTTGGTCTAGTTTATAAGGCCTCGGGGAATGATTCAGTTGCTTCAGTGTGTTAGCCACATTACCGTGTGTCATGTAACCCCAAGTTGGACGAATGCAGAGTATAGATCTTATTTGATGTGGTTTTAATACTTAACGGTTTTCTTTCTCAGAACTTGATGGAGAGTTTGGATTCATTGCTCTGTGCAGAAGGTTCTGAAAGTCTGAAGAGTTTATGTCTGAAACTTCTCCTTTGCTTGGTGACCGTAAGTGACCCATTGATGTTTCTTTCTCAAAGATATTAATTGGCCACTGGTCCATTAAGGAGTACAGTTAATTGACTACTTGAGTCCAAAGTTAGAAGGGAAAAGAGAGAAGGAGAAAACCCCAAGTTGTGTGTTGGGGCATAACATCATTCTCTTGGATGTCTTGTTTCCTGGAAGTTGCTTTTTGGGGCAAATTTTAGCCTGTAATTTTTAGCTTACAGGAAAATGATACTTTTTCCTGTGGAGGCACCACTGCAGGAGAACTACTCTCCTCTTGGTTTTTAGACTTGCCCTCTGGTCCAGTCTCGTTTGGAAATGGCTCTCATGATTCTGAGCCTTTCTCTTTGCTCAGGCTTTGATTTTATGGTTAGAAAGCTGACCTGCAGCGTCTGCTAGAAGGAGTGCAGGGTGTCATTACTCCAGGTGAATGCCATTCCCTGCCACCACATGAAGGCTCTGGGTTCATAAACCTCATTCTGTGCATTTGAGGAATGGAACCCAAGAAAGTGTAAGACAAACAAATGACTGTGTGTGAGAGAAACAGTGTGAAGTTCAATGATGCAGGAAGTTTTATTAGTATCTGTCTATCCATGTCCTTGTGGCTTGTATGCTTGTAAAAGCCCTAGTAAGTATGTAGTAGAATGGGTGAGTCTGTTTGTCTTAGATTCTAGAGGAGGAGATATACATGAAATGTTAGTGTGTCTTCATACAAAGTTTTTTTTTAAATGCTTCTTATTGCCGTCAGGTGACAGATAACATCAGTCAGAACACGATCCTGGAGTATGTAATGATCAACAGCATATTTGAAGCAATTTTACAAGTAGGTTGATTCTCTTGTCATTTCTTTCTCTTCTGGGCAAACCATCTTCTTCTATGCCTGCATTTCTGGGAACCAGGGGTCAGTGCAATTACATATTTCTGATTCTTGGTACAGATCCTCTCCCACCCCCCAAGTCGGAGGGAGCACGGGTATGATGCTGTTGTCCTCTTGGCTTTGCTGGTGAACTACAGAAAATATGAGGTGAGTGGGCCCCTTAATGGACCATGTTACCTTCCTACAATGTCTCTAAATATGGCCACCCCTAGTGGACTTTGCTAATGTAGGAGACATGCTCTCGGCAAATGGTATGCGGGTTTATTTTAATAAACCAAATCCTAAAAATATCACATTAAATGCATGGGACAGCGTGGATAGCTCTTGAAAGGAATCCTGTGATGCATCTTGTAATAAAGTGGGTCAGTATCTCTTATTGTAGTGGCTCCCAAACCGAACTGATCGTTGGAATCACCTTGGAACTTTCGAAAAAGCGTTTGTTGGGCCGTACTCAGGACACACTGAGTCAGAATTTGCTGTGGGGGACCTGAGAGTCTTACATGTTTGTTTTTTTAAAGTTACACCATTGAGTATGATGAGCCCTGGTGGCATCGGTGAGTACCTGTTGGGACTACTAACCTCAAAATCAGCAGTTCAAATCGACCAGCTGTTCTTGTTCAGAAGGAGAAAGATGAGGATTTCTGCACCATCCCCCCAGCCCTCCCACCCCCTTAGAGATTCATAGCTTCTGAAACTCACGAGGCAATTCTATTCCATCCTATAGGGTCACCAGGAGCAATTTACTCCGTGGTAGTGCGTTTGCTGCTTATGATGATTAACCAGACACCAGGATTGGGAACCACTGACTTAGTGCGTGCGTCTGTTTTGAAAAACTGGATTCAATATCTCGGGTTTCCTTAATGCAGCTCACTTGGCTAAGTGTCACTGATGGTCTGGGAGTGCTTCATGATTTCAATGGGACACTCAAGCTGCGGACTTAGCCTCATCAGCTCTAGCGTTCTCTTGACCTTTGAATTAGTCAGGGTGCACAATTAAAGTTTTGAGGTAAAGAGCACAACCCAGAGATTGGTGTTGGTGAATCTACACGAGTCCCCTCAAAAGGCAGAATACACAGAAAAGGCGGGGGAGAGAGATGCTCCGGGAAGACCAGAGGCCTCATCCGGAATTGCTTTGGAGCAGGAGGGAGCATGTGGCCCTGAGCCCTGAGTACCGGAACACAGAATCAGGAGATGCAGGGAGGCAACCTGTCTTTATTCATTTGAATGGCATTCGAAGAAGAACTGGACAAGCTGGAGAGAGAGAAGTGTCATTTGTGAGCTTTAGATCTGTACTCAGTGACTTTTGATATGATTCCTAGTCAGGGTTTTCTCCTTCAGGGTAAAAGTCGTGGGCATCCTCGAATCTGGAGCTTCCTCTGTCATTGGGAGGGATGCTATGAGAAAGGATTGTGTAAAGAGGGACTGGGATTTGTGGAGCAGTGTTAATGTGCTCTCAAATCCCAGGAGCTGATTGCTTTCACTCTCTTGGAGGAACTGATGAGTGGTGTGTAGAACCACTAATAAAGGCATAATTTATCAGCAACACCTGTTTCACTGGTGATATGGAGGGGCTGGTGTGGTAGCCATTTTTATCTCTGTCATGTGTAATAGCCTCTGGGGCCTTATTACAATGGCAAGAAAAATAGCTGAGGAAAAATCCTGAGGATAGTTAGAGAGAGTTGAGTTATATATGACAGGAACACGCCATTTTCAGTAATGAGTATTTTCAGAACATTCTGCTGGATGCAGCCACTTTGAGGCAATGGCTTGATTTCTTTGACTGTGAGCTGAACCCTGGCTCAGCCCAATCTGGCTCAGGCTGAAATGTCAGCCTGAAAAATTGTTCATAGCTAAGGAACTGGGGAAAATCATATTTCTGGAGTGAGGTATGCATCTGTAGTCTGTCAGAAGCCCCCAGAAGAATGTATATAGTGGGCAAGGGCAAGCTGGTGGGCATAATTTATCTAAGCTTTGAAGCTTTTGATATCAGTCATTCACCAGGCATGATGAAGGAAGCCTGGTGACCATGGGGCAGTAGGGCTTTTGACAGGAGCATGAGGAATTCCTGAAGAACCTAGCAAACCCCAAACGGAACGGAATTGTATGTAAATTAGTATTGAGGGCATGTGTGCACTGGAGAACAGTTACCAGTGTTCTTCTCGTGAACACCAGCCTGGATCCTGTGACCAATGGGAAAGTTGTATCCTTTTCAGAAAGATTGCAGAGGGCACCAGAGAGGCTTGACACCTAGCTAAATACTGAGAAGGCAAGTAAACAGTAAGACTTAGAGAAGTGATGGAAAAGATGTCTTTTATTATAAAATAAGTTTATAGAATAAATGTATCGTTCCTCCTCATTTCAAGTCATGCATTCCATTTTAGTTATTTCATTATTTCATCCAAAGAGATGATGATGCTGTTGTTGTCATTAGGTGCCCAACTGCCCACTCCTCACAGCTGTTATTCTATATGAGCTCTTTGTTGTAGCCACAGTGACAGGCCGTCTCATTGGGGGACCTCGTCTTTTTGTTGCTCCTTTCTTTACCAGGTATGCTCTTCTGCTTGAGGAGCCCCGCTGGCATATGGGGTGATGCGCTGGGCTGCCAACTGCAAGATCAGCAGTTTGAAGCCACCCTCTGAGGGGAAAAGATGAGGCTTTCTACTTCCATAAAGATCGACAAACTTGTGAGCCCAGGGGCTTCTACCATGATCTGTAGGATCGCTATGAGTCGGAATCGACTTGATGGCAGTGAATTTGAGAGTCCAAAGAGCTAGAGGAAGGAAAAAAAGTTACAGAGAAGTGCAGTGCTAAGTGTAGTTTAGATCAAGTAAAGACAAAATAAAACAAAGAAAACCAGACCCACCCTCCCCTACAAAACCTCTTGCCGTTGAGTTGATTCCAACTCATAGCCCCCCTCTAGCGCAGGGTCGAAATGCCCCATCTTGACAGAGGCAGCCTGCTCCATCTTTCTCTTGCTGAGTGGCTGGGAGGTTTCAGTGAGAAGCCTAGTGTTACACTGCTGTGCCTCCAGTGCTCTTCTCAGCAAAAGGCAGGTGTCTGTGAGGGTGAGCCTGTGAAGGCTAACTGATCCTGCAATTCTGTCTTGTCTATGAAAGTAGATTGCCTCCAGTTTTAAAAAGTGACCAGCACAACAGGAGTATAAGGAAAAACATGTTAAGGAACATCAGCATATGGGAGAATAGACATTTTTACCACACTAAGATCAAGGCTTCAAACTGGTTCATTTTTGTTCACCACCCTGCTGGGAATTTGCATTTCCACCTCATATCTACTGACTCAGGAGAAAAAAATATAGCTGCCGGTTAATGCACCCAGACCTTATGCCAGATAGTATGCTCAGAATTTTTTTTAAAGCATTTTTATACATAAAATTCACTTAAACCTTGTAGGCATCTAAGGGAAAAACATTATTCCTACCTTTCAGTGGAGGACATTGACGCTTAGGCTAATTAAGCTGCCTCGCTTGTCCTCATTGGAAAGTAGAGGAGCTCAGACTCAAACCCTTGCTTTTAGTCACCTGGCCTCTTTCACAACCACTGCTAAAGCGTATGCTGGGCTTAGTAATCAGACGATCCTTATTATTACTTCAAATGCTAACTCTTGGGAAGACTGTTCTTGAATAGGACTTTTAAGAATGATTGTCCCCCTCCCCACCAAAAAGGGCGGCCAATAACAGTGCCCTGCTCCTTCTATTGTTCTCATCATGGTGACATCTCTAGGTCAAGCCTACTGCTGACTCTGTTTTCCCAGGACCTGCTTCCATTGGCCCTTTTTTTTTTTTTTTTTAACATTTTATTAGGGGCGCATACAACTGTTATCCCAATCCATACACACATCAATTGTGTAAAGCGCATTTGTACATCGTTTCTCAAAACATTTTCTCTCCATTTAAACCCCCGACATTAGGTCCTCATTTTCCCCCTCCCTCCCCGCTCCCCCCTCCCGCATGAGCCCTTGATAGTTTATAAATGGGTATTTTGTCATATCTTGCCCTGTCCGACTTCTCCCTTCATCCACTTTTCGGTTGTCTGTCCCCCAGGGAGGAGGTCACACACAGTTCCATGTAATCGGTTCCCTCTTTCCTACCCATTCTCCCTTTACCCTCCCTGTTTTGCCACTCACACCACTGGTCCTATAGGGCTCATCCATCCTGGATTCCCTGTATTTTCAGTTCCTATCTGTACCAGTGTACCTCCTCTGGTCTAGCCAGTCTTGCAAGATAGAATTCGAGTCATGGTAGTGGGAGTGGGGAGGAAACCTTTAGGAACTAGAGGAAGGTTGTATTTCTCATCATTGTTACATCGCACCCTGACTGGCTCATCTCCTCCCCGAGACCCCTCTGCAAGGGGATCTCCAGTGGCCTACTAATGGGCTTTGGATCTCCACTCTGCACTGCCCCCATCATTCACTATGGTAAGATTTTTTGTTCTGATGTCCATTGGCTCTTGTCTGACGTCTGTAGCCTCAGCCGGATTTGACTGTTAGTCATAGGGAGAAGTGGTGAGAGCCCTGTATGCTTTCAAATCAGTTGATAAATGGAGTGAGTTTTCTCTCCTTGAGTTGTGTCTTAGAAACCTTACAAACATTTGGGATGTTAAGAGAGCAAAGCTGTCTCTTTCTCTATTCCCAAGTGGCCTATAAAAGATGCCCTGAGAAACTTCAGTAAATAAGGTCTATGTGGGGGGTTAGCCTTTCAGTTGGGCTTCCAAGTTCCTCAGTAATGAGTTTTCTTGGTAGCTGTAAAAACTGCCAGTCTGAGAACTTTTGTTCCTTGCTTCCCCTGGGTTAAAATTGGTGCCTAATCTATTTGAGATCTTTGCTCCCATCCCAGGGGTCAGATGTTTTCAAGGTGAGCAGGTTATTGGTTTTCATGGGACTTGTAGGAGATGGCCCAACTGCTCAATGAGTTTAAATATATGTCCATTTCCATATGCTACCCAGCTGGAATTGGGTCTGGAAAAACTGGAGAAATCTTCCAGTGTTGTTCGTGATGGGACAATCGTGAAATCCCAGTGTCCTGACCAGATTGTAGTTTGGGTAATTACATGCTTTTTTCCCAGTCCCCCTGCAGTGTTATTTGGGTATGAGATCCATAAACGGCCTTGCTGGCTGTTAAGCAGCTGCCACTTTTCCACCCCCAAGGTGGCTTTGTTTTACGGGTGGGTGAGCCAGTTCTTGCATATAGTTTCTGAAATGGTTAGGGAGCCTTTGGGATGAGCATGTGCGTTAGAAACTTCAAGATATGTGCTTTGTGGTAAAGGAGGTTTTATGTCCCCCAAATGACAGCTATCCCTATGGTCTTAGTGAATTACTGGCAGGGTAGGGCACAGTGAGTTCTGCAGAGTGTTCACTTCTTCAGAACAAGTAAGAAAGGCAGTAGGGAGAAGGGGCTGATTCAGCCTAGAGCAGTGCTTCTCAACCACCCTAGTGCCTCAACCCTTTAATACAGTTCCTCATGTGGTGGTGACCCCCAAACCATTATCTTTGTTGCTACTTCATCACTGTCATTTTGCTACTGTTTTGTTTTTTTTTTAAACATTTTATTAGGGGCTCATAAAACTGTTATCCCAATCCATACACACATCAATTGTGTAAAGCGCATTTGTGCATCGTTTCTCAAAACATGTTCTCTCCACTTAAACCCCCGACATTAGGTCCTCATTTTTCCCCTCCCTCCCTATTTTGCTACTGTTAATGAATCAGCTGACCCTTGTGAATGGGTTGTTCGACCCTCAAAGGGATCGAGACCCACAGGTTGAGGAAAGTGCAGGTAGAAAAGAACTCACATGCGCGCGCGTGCGCGCGCGCGCCATGATGAATGTCCACACACATTGAGCGGGTACTGAAAATGGGGGGAATCAGCTGGCAAGATGGATTGGGCTTGTTTGTGAAGAGTGTCATTGTACACGTGTTTCTGTGAACTCTTTTAAGTAGCTAATGGACTTAACTAAGCCACACTCACCTTGAGTTCCTTCTCTTGTTTAACAGTCTGTGAACCCCTACATTGTGAAGCTGTCGATTGTGGATGATGAGGCCACGCTCAATGTGAGTATCTGGTTCCATGCCTATCGTCTTAGTTCCTGGCGCCGCAGTCAGTGAGCATTTAGAACAGAGAGCCAAGAGTTTGTATGCTGATTTCATCTGGTTATAAACAGGGAATTATTATTTCTTTTTAGACCCTCCGTGCTATTGTCTTACTGTCTTTTTGTCATGGAGGGGAGTTTTGAGGGGCCGTTTGCTGGCTGACCATGATAAAATGGCTGGTTATATTTCATATTATGGTATGTGAGGTTGACTATTTAACAAAGTCAATAAATTACATTTCTGAGAATGAGAATGCCCAAATGACTAAATGATGGCTGATGCTCCATGTGGAGCTAGCCAGATGAGATTTATAGCCTGACTTGGTGAAGCTGAACTGTGGAGGGTGATAGATATCTGATACATATATCCTTGAAAACTTGGAAAATAATACCTGCTTGCTGACTCTAGGGAGGGGTTGTCAAGGAAAGAAGATGGACAGGTGACTTGAGTTTATTTCCTTTTCACTCTGCTCACTTAATTCTTCCAATTTCCCTTATGTAAAATATATGCACATGATTCATCCTTATGACCTTAATTACCTTTGTGTTACACTTAGCAGCTTCCAGGGGGAAAGTTGATAGGCCAATCTCACTTTTTAAAAAAAAATCTTTTTATTAGGGGCTCATACAACTCTTATCACAATCCATACATACATCAATTGTGTAAAGCATATTTGTACATTCATTGCCCACATCATTCTCAAAACATTTCCTTTCGACTTAAACCCCTGGCATTAGGTCCTCATTTTTCCCCTCCCTCCCTGCTCCCCCCTCCCTCATGAGCCCTTGATAATTTATAAATTATTATTTTGTCATATCTTGCCCTCTCCGACATCTCCCTTCACCCACTTCTCTGTTGTCCGTCCCCCAGGGAGGAGGTCACATATAGTTCCTTGTAATCGGTTCCCTCTTTCCAACCCGCTCTCCCTCTACCCTCCCAGTATTGCCACTCACACCACTGGTCCTGAAGGGATCATCCTCCCTAGATTCCCTGTGTTTCCAGTTCCTATCTGTACTAGTGTACGTCCTCTGGTCTAGCCAGACTTGCAAGGTAGAATTCGGATCATGATAGTGGGGGCGGGGAGGAAGCATTTAGGAACCAGAGGAAAGTTGTATTTTTGCTACATCGCCCCCTGACTGGCTCGTCTCCTCCCTGAGAACCCTCGGCAAGGGCATCTCCAGTAGGCCAATCTCACTTTATTGGGACTGTTTCTTTTTATCGTTTCTCTTCTTTTCTTGTGGCCTGAAAGACGGAGCAGCTGGTCTCTAGAGACCGTCATTGAGCAAGGACTCATTACCACCCTTATTGTGGCTGTTTAGGAGGGCTTTTGCCGAAGATTCTACTTTCATTTTTGAGGTGAAAATGATCCCAGTAAAACTGTCAGTGATCTGGGCTGCCTGGTCTCTTTGACCTCTTGTTATTCTATTTTAATTGTATTTGGGAACATTAATGAAGAGAATTATATCAGAAGAGTCTTTTCAGAGAAGTTCCTCTTCTTTGACATTTTCCTTTTCTTGGAATTTCAGTTCTTGTCAGCTTTCAGGCAAAACTTCTTGAGCTTGGGCCATTAGTAGTCCAATTAGTAGCAGCCATTGGAGTCCAATTAGTAGCGGCCGGACAATGAAAACCTTCTGCGTGATAACCCACAATCCCATCAAGTGTAGGTGTCTGCTTTTTCAGCACATACCATCCCCACCCCCACCCCAAAATGGTTCTGAGGAGCTCTGGTGGTGTAGTGGTTACCCGTTGGGCTTCGAGCCGCAGAGTTGGCAGTTTGAAATCACCAGCAGCTCCTTGGAAGACTGGACTCTCTACTTCCATAAACAGAAATCCACAGGGGGGTTTTCTGAGTCAGCATTGACTGGATGGCAGTGAGGGAGGGACGAAGGAGGGGGAGGGAATGGTTCCAGCATCTCCCCCTCCCCCGCAGTGGGCAGTATTGTCCACTTTAGGAAACACTGAATTAGTGTTTGCCTTGTCCTAGTAGTCGTACCTTTCCTAGGAAAGTACTCACTTCTCCCTGCTATCTTTTCTTTTCCTAGGGAATGGGACTTGTGATTGCTCAGGCTTTATCTGAATACAACAGGTAAGTCACTTTTCAGAAGGGAGGGAGGATCCTGGGTTCATTTGAAGTGGTCAATTAGGAAATAAGTGAGTTTGTGTCAACTTCCCATGGCATATCCTGGAAGAGTCTTCAGCGGCACAGCTGCTGGCAGTGGTAGTTTTTCTAGCATGGATTGTTTCTAACCCCAGGGGGTTATAAGCAGCCATCAGGGTAATGTCCATCTTTTGTTTAAGCAATTGGGCACACCCTTTTGCAACCTTACTGCGGAGCAGTTTGAACTGATTTTCCCACCATAAACATGCTCTAACATTTTTTAATGTCCCCCAAATGTCATTTTCTATGTGAAAAAGCTTGTGAAACACTGCTTTTCTGAACAACTTTTACAAAAACACGAGGAGGCAGCATACTAATCTGACCAAACCTAAAACCAAACTCACTGTCATTGAGTTGATTCTGACTCATAGCGACTCAAAACAAATCGGTCTCGGAGGAAGGACACGATGCTCCTTAGAAGCAAGGGTGAGGAGGCTTCATCTCGTGTGTTTTGGATGTAGTGTGAGGAGAGCCCAGTCCTTGGACATTATGCTTGGTCAAGTAGGCAGTGATAAAGAGGAAGACCCTCACCTCGGTGAATTGACACAGTTGCTGCAACAATGAGCTTAAACATGGCAGCAATTTGAAGCTGGCACAGGACTGGGCAGTGGTTTTGTTCTGTGTTCATAGGGTTGCGCTGAGTTAGAACCACCTTGACGACACCTAACATCAGCCACCACACCAAATCTCTATGGGAGCAGGTACTATCCTCAACTTCCTTTCCAGGAGTAGCTATTAGATTTGAACTGCTGAGCTTGTGATTAACAGTGTAAATACTGACCCAACAGCATTACCAAGGCTCCTTACATTAGTTTGGCAGGTACTTCTTTCATCAGGAATCAGCTTTTACTTCCCAGAAGCCTTCCCTATCCTGGGGGCTTGCTTTCTTGATGCTTGCTTTTCCTTGTGGATGGGCAAGGATCTGATACTCAAGTGAGTGGAAACCAGAGGGGTCCTTGCTCCTGGCCCAGCCCAGGCAGAATTGCTCTTGTTCTTCGTCATACTCCTTCCACACAACCGGCTGTTGGAATTTCAAATCTGTTCCATCTCCACAAATAGTTTAGCTCACAGATTTCCCTCCTCCTCTTTCTCCTCCTCCAAAAACAAACAAGATTTTCACTGTGAACAGTCTTAAAGTAATTTCACTGTCACACTTTTCAAGTAATAGTCTGTTTGGGAAATAGCTGGATCAGCCATATGTTAGAGTAGTTTCACACTTTTGCAGCTTGCTTTCTAAGTCTCTCCCAAAGTAGTCCGGCGTTTTGGTACACACTCTACCTTAAGAGCAGATGGAGGCCTCTCACTGCACAGGGGGAACTGCAAAGGCTAGGCGATCACCATGTTTTGGTTTCTGGAGTCTTTGCATTCTAAAAGGCCCCTGACCTGATGACCTAGCAGGGCAACAACCAAGATAGACTGGCTGTATCATTTCTGTAAAAAGGTGAATCTAGTTTTTTGTTGTTGTTGTTCAGGCAATATAAAGACAAGGAAGAAGAACACCAGAGTGGCTTTTTCTCTGCTTTAACAAACATGGTAAGTCTGACCTGCCTTTTTCCTCCTGCTGAGAAATACCCGAGGGAGGCAGGGGGAGGCCAGTCTCTGCACAGAAGTCCTGAGGTTTGATGTGATGGCATGATGAGAGAGAGGTTGCTCAGGTTAGATTTATCGAGAACCATGTCTTCGTTTCCAAAAACCTACTGCCGTTGAGTCAATGCTGACTAATAGTGGCCCCGTAGGACAGAGTAGAATTGGCCCTGTGGGTTTCCCAGACTAAGTTGTTAACAGGATTAGACAGCTGGTGGTTTCGAATGGCTGACCTTGTGGTTAGCGGCCCATTGTGTAACCCACTATATTATCAGAATTCCGAAACGACATGAATGACCCAGGGGAAAGGAGAACTTGAACTTCTCTGGGACTGATTTTCAAGCCATATTTTTTGCTTTCAAAAGATTGGACCCTCTTTGGGCCCTGACCTTGTGGAAGACAGAGTAGGCTGGTTCATGCTGGGTCCTTCTGAAAACCTCTCTGCTGTCAGCTGTGTCCACTTGAATTCTTCTTGTTGGATGCCAGCCACTGCGGGAAGGCGAGAGGCCCAAGGTTTAAGAAAGCTCAGCCCTGGCGGCATTTGGGGCCGGATAATCTGATACTAATGTTTAAGAAACAAGTCTAGGAATGTGTCTTTATAAAGGGCCTTACATGTGGGCAGATTCAGTAAATCTGTCCACGAGTATCCAGGTAATCAGCCCAAGGGTATGGCAGATTTTTAGTTCATTTCAAAAGAGATACCCGCCACTGCCACCATCAAATAAAGGAGACAAATTTTTTCGACTCATTACCTCAGCGCTCTCCCCATCTGCCTTCTCATAGCCTACCTTTAAGGAAAAGGCCTGATAGTTAAATTAGACCTTTTATTTATTTATTTTTAAAAATTAGACCTTTTAATCTTGAAGCATAAATGAGTAATGCATCTCCCATAGGCTGCAACAGTATGGGTACTGTATTATTACTTGACTAAATGAATTAAGAGATCATTATATTACTCCAAGATTAGCCAAGGGGTAAAAGCTTTGTACCAAACAAATGAAGCCCCAACTGCAGAGCTTGGGGCATTAATCAGCATTTGGGAAAGGTTTTTCAGGGAGTGGGCATCTTTCTCATCTTTCTCTGACATCACATATTAGAGCCACCTGCTCCATTAACCTGTTCGGCTGCTCTGACTACGATACAAACTAAGCTCCCTCGAATCTGGTAAAAATGGAGAATGGGTTTGGTGTAGACAGCTCTGGTCTGAAATCCAAGTATGTATTCCCCTGAGGACAGCTCTAAGTAGGATGAGGTCAGCCTGATTTCCGTGAATTAATTTTTAATTTCAAACAAACAACTTCCAGGAAAGATGCAGAATGATGAGAATGTCTAGGCTGACATTTATTCATTACCACTTGTGTATCAAAAAATGAGGGCTGAGATTTTTTAAAAGCCTCTTTAAAGCTCCTGTAAAATGATTTTGTGGGTTTTCCATTATTACCTTTACTACTTAGGAGACTTTTAAGATCTTAGAAGTAGGCTGGTTTTGTTGGATGGGACCAGTGGTCCAAAGATCAAGTTCCCACTGGCTGATTCCCCCTTTCGTCACAACCGCCCCCCCCGCCCCTTTTTTTTCTGTTTTGTTGTTTTTTGGAAGGATGGAAGGGTCTTAGGCTCAGAGCTGCATTTCTCTCTCTGTAATTCCACTTTTTTTCCACAGGTGGGCAGCATGTTCATAGCAGATGCCCACGAGAAAATCTCTGTACAGTAAGTGCCTGGTATTTGTTGCTTTGACTTGGATGGTGGTGGGGGTCTCCAGCTGGCTTTGCTAGTGTGAAATGTTACCTCTTGCTAATCCTGAACATATTTAAAGTTCCTTAGTGACTTAGTAAATGGTTCTTGGGTCTTAAACAATCACGCACCCCAAGAAACTGAGAAATGGTTGCTATCTGTCTCTGGAGTGAAATAGAAGAGGGCTTGCCTGTCTGAACCAGTTAAGGATTCGGCAGGGGTGGGAAAGGGAGAGGGATGGTAGTGAATGAAGTAGATAAAACTCTTCCTGAGAAATTGAAGTTAAGGCCTGGCCTCCTCACCTGTATACCTTTTACATGTATACCCAAGAGGGAAACGGAGAGGAACACAAAGGGCTGATCTGGGGGAGCTGAGGTCAAATGGGATAGCGATGGTGGTCACTGTCAGAGGCTCACTGATATGTTTTCTTCCTCTTTAGAACCAATGAGGCCATTCTTCTGGCACTTTATGAAGCCGTTCATTTAAATCGCAACTTCATCACAGTGTTAGCCCAGGTTGGTTATGTTAAAACCCCAATCTGAATTGTTTTGGAAATGTTGATGGCAATATATGTACAAGTGTGCTTAATACTATGGAATAATGGATTGTTATACGATTTGTAAGAGCCCCCAATAAAATGATTAATTACAAAACAAAACAAAACCCAATCCGTTTTCTCCATGGATTACCCAGATTCATTCCACAACAAGCCTATCCAGCTATACCGATTTCAATCTGGTTGGGCATTGCTAAGTGGGGGTAACCAGGGGTTGCACCAGTTGCCTTGGCTTCATGCTGTCCCCAAGCCTATGTGTTTCTGTCTGGTGTTAACATGCAGAGTAAATGGTTTTGACCAGTTTACTGGTCCTGTTGACCCGTATGAGCTGAGATGACATCATTTTGCTCCCTGGAAATCCCCTGGCTTTCTCTGTGTCTAAGGATTTTTCTCTCAAACTTCCTGCTTTCTAAGCCACTGTGGAATCACAGCCTGAGATAAAATAAACTAAGTCATTTATCTTATTATTTTACTTGTGCCCAGGGAAGAAAAGTGAAAAATAACCTGCCCAGCCTTAGGTTCGCTTTTAGCAGATAAAATGGTCCGCAAACATCGAAAGCAGGAAGTCATGGAATACTGAGTGCTGGGTCACATGCTTGAGGGATAGCCTTTGTACTAGCCCAGAAGGGGACTAAAATAGGCCGAGAACTCAAGTGCTGTCCATGAATGCTGTCTTTAAAAATTGATACAGTGATTTTAGCTTAAAGCCAGACTGTTTAAAATATGTATGTAGAGTTCCTTTAAAAGAAAGTCTGCTTTGTTTCTTAAAGAGCAGGTGTGTCTGGTGTCTACAAATTGAGCTTTACCTTAAAAAACAAGGAAACACACACACAAAGGTCCCGCCTACAAAGTATGCTAATTTGGGGTCTCCTTAGGAGGACATGTATTTGTTTCGAGACTGAGCAAATAAAAGGCTATACCCCTGTTTTCACCTCATTCTTTGACTGCTTCCCAAATTCTGTAACAGGCATTGGTGTTAGAGAGGAGAAAGGAGATAAAGAGAAGCTGCCTCGCAGGGTCATTCTCAGTTGTGGTGACACGGGTTAGCTGAGAGAGACGCAAGAGTTGTCTGTTTGGGTCCCCACTGGGTGTCTCCCATATAGCTCTCTCTTCTCATCCCACACATACTCTTGTTTGTTTGGGAATGAGAAGATGCCACCTGAATAGCCCCACCCCCCCTTTTCAAAATAGCTCTTGATATTCCCTTGGCTCATGTGCAATTGGTAGCCAATTACATGATCATTAGAATTTTCTGTTGGTATATGTTTTAGGTTGGTCTGTTGAGAGCATTTCTTACCCAAATCGACATAGGGCCACCAATGCCCTCTTTCTTGTAGACTGATCCTGAATATTTGTTTACCCCAATTTTTCATTTGGATGGTTCTGCAGACAAACTTATGTAATGGAAACTTAGTTGCTAGGAGAAAACTAGCCCACAGAACTTCTTATTAGAATTTAGCAGTTATCAAGAGTAATCAGGGACTTGTGGGAACCAAATGTAGAGGTCATTTCTCCTTAGTGAGCTTTCTGTTTAATTATGAGGTCAGGAAATCCAGTAGGGTCTTGAGCAGGGGAAACTGAAGGAGAACGGGGTTTTCTGTTTTCTTGTCTTTCAGAGTCACCCAGAAATAGGCTTGGTGACGACCCCTGTGAGTCCCACTCCAACAACCCCAGTCACACCGCTTGGGACCACACCACCCTCCTCTGACGGTGAGCCACCAACGGTTTTGCTTTCTTGATTAATGTCTTTCAGGGTGAGTAGAGTTGTGTTGAACAAAGAACACAGTTTTTAATTCTTTCAATTAGGAAATTTGTCTGAAGTCCTGCCTCCTGAAGCTCCGAAGAACACTTGGGATAAAATAGTCAAGTGCTTTTCTCTGTAAGAGAACTACGTAGTCACACCTTGTCCTACTCGATAGAGGGTGGTTCTAGATCCGAAAGGGACCTCAGAGCTCAGCAATACCCAGTCTGCCCAACTTTCAGGGTGCTTGTGGGACTCTGATGAGCTATTTTATGAAAAATACTTCCCTATGACCATTAAGCCCTGAAATACATGTAAAATGGTAATGTTATCTTATGCTACCACTTTACAAATGAGGGAATTGAGGCCAGAGAAGTGAAACAATTTGCCTGAGGCTAGGGAAAATTGGACTAGGACTATCTTTCTGGTTCACAGCTACATGCCCAGCCTAGTGCCTGGCACAGTAGTTACTTTGTACATATTACTTTAACCAGTGAATGAGAAAGCAAAGCTCAGAGTCACTCGCTGTTACATACATGTTTCTCCCAAATGGAATTGACAGACTTTAAGTTGTGTTATAAGTGGGAGTTTGGTGGTTATTTAAGACTCTCTCCTCCCCGCCTCCACTTCACCCTCTCTAAAAAACAACAAAAAACATTTCTCCTTTCTACATTTTTCTGGCCGGAACTTAAGGAAAAGGCAAAAGGAAAGAAATTAATGAATTTTCTCCAATAAACTTTGTGGCACTTGAAATGCTTTTCTTGTAAGCTGAGTCTGTTTGATGGGATACTTTAACCGAGAAATAATCTACGCTAATGCTTCATGTCATAACCAGTAAGCATTGACCTCATTTTGGGCAAAGAAGTATAGGCAATCATAACTTTGATTCTTTCCTTGTGCCTCCCTTCTGTCTTGTCGTGACATCACCTTTGTTCTGCTTCCTCTCCTTCAAATTTTCGTACAGCACCTGTGGCAGGAGCATTTCAAGGCAGAGCAAGCAATATTGGTTCAGAAGCATGGCAGGGAGGTGCCATTGATATTCACGTCTGTGGTAGCAAACTGGATGGTTTTTAGAATTGAAAGCCAAACTCTAAAATATCTTAATGAGAAGGAGCAAGTAGTGAAGACTGCCTACTTATCTCTGCTTATTCAGGTCACTGAATAATCCAATGGGAAGACCGTTCTTTCTCTTTAAGGATGAAGCCTGCCTGGTTACCATGGATATCAAAAGCCATATATATATTTCTGAGCTCCATGTGATGTTGGGGTTTGGATGCTTCAGAGAACTGCCTTTCAAACTGTTCATTGTGAACACTTCCACCCACACACTTGATTATGCAATGGCAGGATTTGTGCTTACTTCCCTACAACCAGTGAGCTTTGATTTTTTTCTAGTGCGAAGATGGAGTCAACCCACTTTCAAATGACTCTCTCCCTCGACAAAGACTGCTGGGCAGGATTAGGGAGCTAAAGATCAAGCAATGACTCCTCTTTAGGAGGAGATTGGAATTTGTGAAGGATTTTATTCTGTCTGTTCTGTTTTGTGTCCCCCCCCCTACCCCCAACTTGTTCCTTTTCCTAAATATTGTAAGCTTGTTTTTAATTTTTGGCTTTTAATTATAGTGGTGCTCAGTAACCCAGTTATATTTAAAGGCATGCCACTGGAGCCATTATTTTTAAAAGCCAGCAGGTTAGCTGTAACATTTGTTCTCAGCTCAGACGTGACATTTGACAACCAGGCTTGGCATGAGAGGACTTTCTGGTAAACTAAAAATACATATACTTCTATATTTCTACATATTATATAAGACAGCTTTCCAGTTACTTCTGAGTGTGAGTGGGGGGGGAGGGGGTGGTTGAGGGAGAAAGTCCTGAACCAGTCAGTGGAATGATTATGGGCTCTGAGCATCAAATAGGCTGTGGTTCAAGATGACAGTCTCAGGTCATTAAACCATAACATGAGTTAAGACCTTTTAGTATTTAAACATAAAAATATATTTGTCTTTTATTAGTTCTTGGGGGCTGAACTGTGGGAAAACAGCCAAGGGTTGGACATACTAATTTCTTCTCATAAGGCTTTTTGCTGTGCTTGCTGTGCATTATGGATCTATAATATGCAAATGTTTCCCGTTGCTAATAAACGTTCTCTGCATACATTGTAATAACTCCAGAGGGATTCATTATTGTTATGAACACATATTATGAGTAATATTCCAAACTTAGCTGAGTCTTCATGGGTGGAAATGCAGCAGAACGCCACATTGGCTGCTTGTCTGGGCCATCACGAGCCTCTTTTTGCTTATATGTTGTGTTTTAGACAGTGTAGAAGCGCTGAACAAGATATCTGCATCTAATTGAAAACTTGACATTCTTTTGGGAAATCTACATTAAGACTGTACACTGTTGTAGCTCTGTCCTGGTCTTGTTCCTCATCGTTCACTGGAACTGTGGCTGGTGTTGGGGGAGTTTGTCTTGGAAACAACAACTGAGTATAGAAAGCCCAGTTCCCAGATGGTACAAGTCAATAACGTCTACTCATTTTCCATTGCTATTGCCTTTTTAGATTCTTTTTTCTTTTTTTTTATGGGGTAGAATTTGAATGCGGTCTACCTTAAGAAACCCTTACCACCCACCACCCACTTACTTAGGTATGGTCATCCTAAAGGCTTGTTCTCAAAAATGAGCATGTTTTCTCCTTATTAGGAAGCAATTTTCATTTATTTTAAGCTGAAGGCTCAATGAAGCAAGGCTTATTAGTATTCAGTAAAGATAATTCCTTTAAGTGCAAATCACAGTTCCTTTAAGAAAGGCCCTGAACTTTTTCTAGGTTCCTAGGGGGAGGAAGTGAAATCAGTAAGCTCCTCCTCGGATGCTGGATCCGGAAGAAGGTCATTTGCCTTCATCTGGGAAGTAGGAAGGGTCTCAGAGGCCTACGAGGAGGAGATACAGGTTTTATGATAGGCATTTGGTCCTCCCTCTATTGTGGAAAAAAGTTATTTAGTGATTTTTTTCATGCCTACTGGCAAATTGACTGTGGGTAGAAGTGTTAGATGCAATATGTTATAGGCTAAGTGCATTTCATCTGTTCCATTCCAGTTATAAGTTCTGTGGAACTCCCACTGGATGCAGATGTACAGACCAGTAATCTACTGATAACCTTCTTAAAGTACAGCTCAATTGTCATGCAGGACACCAAAGGTAAGGAGCACTACTCTGTGGGCTCAGGAAGGTGGAGGTATAGCAGGCAGGTGCTGAATTGGAATCAAAGAATGGTGTTAATACTGTGAAGCATTGAGAAAATGAACTCTTGGGGCCTTCTATGAAAGGTGATGGTCCTGATTGCTGCAAAACAGTGATTTCTCACTGCCAGATGGCAATTAGGGGGTGTTGGGAAAACCTGGAGCTGGAGTGGGGGAGTGCTCAAAAATAGAACAGGAAAAAAAAAAAAACGGTCTCTACAAAAATTAGCAAGCCGTCTTAGCAGAGCTGGGTAAGTAGATGCAAAAACGTTTCTGTGTGGGAAGTGGGGGGGATTAGCAAGCTTCAGGGAATTCCCTTTTGAGGACAATAACTGAAAGCCTCAGCTTGTGGTGAGAATTAGAGGACCTGTTGGTTGAAGTACAGTAGGAAGAGGTGAGATTCAGAGGGACTGTGTACTTTAACACTTTGAGGTGTCAACACCCATCCCAGAAATGTGGAGTAGATGTGGGAGAGGACTGAACATTGGAAAAGTCTGAAGTTTTTTTTCTGCCTGGTTTTCTATTCTTTCTTAGTGGTAATGTAGTGGAATAGTTGGGCTAGGAGTGAGAAAGGGTTGGGAAGAGACTCAGTATATACCCCCATTTTAAGATTTCCTGGAAGTAGAAACTTTTGATAGACATACAAGTTGAAAGCCAAACAGTGATTGGCTATATCTTTGTTACCATGTTCCCATATTTGATTTGTCTCTAATTTTTTTTCCTGTGCATTGTTACTGTCATTATTTTAGCTGAATAATTTTAAAGGAAGTTGCACATACCACCCAGTTTCATGTATTTTCTAAAGTTAGAGGCATTTTTCTAGATATTCAGAATACCATAATCAAAGTTAAGAAAATCAACAATATTTCCGAATATTCAGTCCATATTTAGATTTCCCTAGTTGTCCCTCAAATATTTTTATAACTGATATTAAAAAAAACCATATCTAACATTTTAAAAAAGGAAATGATTTTTTATTTAATAATGCAGCATACTAGTACTCTTGGTATATATTCACATATCGCTTTCTCTGTCACATTTATAATTAAAAGATCAATGAATCTAGAGGTCCGCTGTAATCACTATTTAGAACATATTGTAGAACATAGTATTTCCATAGTTCATTCCAACCCCTATCTTCTTCTTTTTGTTTAAATCATTTTATTAGGGGCTCATACAACTCTTATCACAATCCATACACACATCAATTGTGTAAAGTGCATTTGTACATTCATTGCCCTCATCATTCTCAAAACATTTCCTCTCCACTTAAACTCCCAGCATTAGGTCCTCATTTTTCCCCTCCCTCCCCCCTCCCCCCTCCCTCATGAGCCCTTGATAGTTTATAAATTGTTATTTTGTCATATCTTGCCCTGTCTGACATCTGCCCTATCTTCTTTGTATTCTACAACATCTTCATTATGTTAATGATATAGACCCACTGGAAATTATGGTGGCTAAGGGCCGTCCCAACTTTCAGTCTGTCAGGTTGTCCGTTCAGAGGGTCCCAAATTTAGAACTTTGACCATGAGCCTGGAAAAGAAGGCTTGTAGCTAGGCAGATGATGCCACCTTGCTGGCTCCACTTAACATTCAGGTGACATTTTTGATTATTGCTTTCTTTGGTACCCACAGTTTGTTCCAGTGGGCTTCTCTCCTTTAGAAGGACTTTTAGTTTTTTTTCTAACTACAAAAATAATCGAAATATTACTTGTTAAGCACTAAAATATACCTGCAGTGGTTAATTTAGAAAGTAGAAGTCATTTGTAATCTCCCTGGAGTTAATCACTGCCTACAGTCTGATGTATCATTGCCCTTGATAAACTCCTGTGAAAGAAGAAAGAACCCCAGTGGTGCAATGGTTAAGAACTTTGTTGCTGACTGGGAGTTTGGCAGTTTGAACCCACTGGCTGCTCTGGGGGAGGGAGACGTGGCAGTCTGCTCTTGTCAAGATCACAGTCATGGAAGCCCTTCGGGGAGACTTTCCTTTCTCCTGTAGGCTCGCTGGGAATTAGAATCGGCGTGATGGCAGTGGATTTGGTTTTGGAACGAAGAATGGAATAGTTGTGTTGTGTGGGCCCTTAAATTATGGTAATAATGTTTGAAAATTATGAGAAATCATTTTTCCATGGGGAAAAATTATGATCCATGGACACATTTCAGATTCCCAGATAATTAAAAATCAAAACAAAAACAAACCAATATAGAAGCAAAATTGCTAAAACAAATATTGTTTTTGCCACTATACTTTCCATGAGAGGTGGTTTATTCTTCAGGGGTGAAATATACATGAGAAAGAGCATATAATGATCATACTTATGTTTATGGTGGGTGAGTTTGCTGGAATTAAAAAATGGAGCTAAAAACACGAGCCCATGTGTTTGATCAACAGAATTATATTAAGAATTACTGAGAGGTGAACAATGGGTAAACATGATAGTGCGCCAGGAGGAAAGAAAAAATGAAACGAAGAAACTAAATATATAAATATTTAAATATAGGTATGTTTGTTTACATATGTATATAAATGCAAATGCAACAAGGAAGCAAATGGACTTTGGACCTCTACTTAAATCTTACCTCAGTGCAAGAACGGTTTGTTCTAATAATGTGGCACTGTATAATATTCAGCTACCTGACACAATTGCTGGAGACAAAAATGCGTGCATAAGCAAATGTGGTGAAGAAAGCTGATGGTGCCTGTCTATTAAAAGATAAAGTGTCTAGGGTCTTAAAGGCTTGTAGTCAAACAAGCCGCTACCAAGCAGTGAAGCAACAAAGCCCACACGGAAGAAGTAAACCAGTCTGTGTGATTCTGAGGTATCAATGGGAAAAGGTATCAGAAGTTCAAAAACAAGCAACCAAATTGATGTAAAGGGGTGGGATGTAGTAGTGGAGACCCAAACCCACCTGCAAGATAATTAGACAGTCTATCTCCGATGGGCTACACGGAAAGGATGATAAATCCAAGATGCAGTATAGCACTGTTGAAACATAACTATCCTCTAGTTCTTTAATATTTCCTCCCCTTACTATTATAGTTTTTATTTGTTTTACCTCATTAATCCTGTTAGACTTAGGTATGTTCATTTGTATAATTAAGATCATTAGATACATGAAAGCCTTCAGAAACAGTAACAGGAGTAATGGTTTCCTGAGAGAATGGGAAGTGGTGGGGGAAAGGAGGGGAGGGGGAAGCTGATAGCATTGATGACTGTATAACCCCACTCAAGGGGCATGAACAACAGAATTGTATGTGAATGGATATATTGGATGGTATAAGATGCAGCTAAGTAAAGGAGACCTGATATGAAGGAGTTAGAGAAGAAACAAAATGTTTTGAAACTGACTGTGGTGGCAATTGTACAAATCTTCTTGATGTGATTGAACTATGGAATGATATGATATCTGTAAGAACTCCCAATAAAATGATTAAAAAAGAAAAACAACAACAAAATAAAAAGCAAGAGCCCAATAGCAGAGAAAGACCAAGATTTTGGGGCTTTGGGTTGAAAAGGAATTTTTAAGCACAGAGCTAGGAGAGCTAAAGGATAAATATGGGAATGAAAAATTGCTGCAGCTGAACAGAGCCTGGGAGGTCATCTGAGCCCTGGTACACTAAGACATCCTGGAATAGCACACGGAGACTTCCAACTTGCATCCTTATGTTTTTTTTACCTTCACCTGTGTCCCTCAAGTGTGCTATTTCAAGAAAGACAGCTCTGTTCAGAGGTGAGATAGATGCAAGTAGCCCAAGTCACAAACTTGTAACAAAACAGTCCATTGAGAGCTTCAGAGATGGCTGAACCTCTGAGACTTGACAAGTAAGAGCTAGCAGGCATGGAGATAACAAGACTCTTGTGTATCAGAGTTTCCGGAAGCCATCGCTCCCCTCTATGGAAATGGTTATCTCTGGCTTCTGTAGAAATATTGCAGCACCCACAGAGGAGAGGAAACTGCATAGATGTGACCTAGAAAATGAACTTTTAGCTTTGCTTGATGCAACAGTGAATTGAGGCCCTTGGAATTCATTTTTAGTGTTAATAGTTATGTAAACCTCTTTATCCTGGTCACTTTACCATCCATAAAATGGAAGGCAAAATTTGGGGGTTGATTGGGTGAACTCAAGACAGTATGTCTAAACTCATGCTGGGGCAGGTCTTTGCCAAGAGGCAGCCTAAAAGTGGCAAGAATCAAGCAAGGTTGGGCACAAATGACAAAGAGTTAATTTCAGAAATGCTGCCTGTGTGGCATGGTTTTCCACTTGTCTGTTAAACTCCCACCTTGCTCCATGCCTTGGATCTCATATTTTTAGGGCCAATAAAAGCAACTTTTCTTGGCTCTGCTCCCCCCACTTCTACCCCCTGCCAAGATGTTATCTCTTTCTTCTTTATTATATAGCCATCGTTTGATACCTACAAAAAGATGCATTTACTAGATATGCATAGTATAAAACTGATAATAAGTGTGATAAATAAGCATAAGTTATAAAGTATAATAATAAAACGAGCATATGTGGACCTACCACCCACCTTCACAAACTAGAACATTATTAATGCTGTGGAAGCTTCTTCTGGGTCCCTTTCCAATCCCTCCAGTCCCGTCTGGTCTCCAGCATTTTGTGTTTATCACTTCCTGGACTTGGCTTTACTTTTAGAGCCTTTTTTCCTTGGGCTCGTCTGACTTTGGTGGTATCACTTTCAAGGAGCTCTACCTTTCAGAAAGGCATTAGGCAAAAAAATTTAAACAATCCGCTCCTGTGTGTTTGTGCACAAGCTTAAAGTTTTTCTGAACAATCCTGCTATCTGGGTGGTATGATTGAAATAGGTTTTCATTGTCTTCTGGTACATCTCTGAATTGAAAGCATGTTTATCATGAAATAGGCCTTTTTGAAAACAATTTTCTTAGGGAAATTTTTTGTTTCTTAAAATGGAGCGATAGCTGCAGACTTTTTGATGGGAGTTGCTTATCAGCTTTTGGGGGAAAGCAAGGTGAGTGCCAGAGAAACTCTGTGGCTGTGGAGAGGAAGATTCGAATTTTGCCCAGGCAGGGCTATTTCCGTGTTCTTCTGTCTGCCTAGAGGCTCTGATTTAAACTCTAGGGAACGCTGGGTAGGATATTCCGATAGTCTATTGCCTCATTACTCATTTTGCACTGCATTTCTCTGAGGAGGATGTATTTCTAGACTGTATTTCACCCCACCCCATGCCCCGACCCTTCTAATTGTCAAGTTTCAGTTGATAGATTCAGTCTTTGATGAAGAAGCAGGTGAATGTCCCAGTGAGTACCGATGGTTAACCTCTGCTATACTGTACTCTGTTCATAGGACTTTTATTTATTTGCTTTCTGGCCTGCAAGCTAGATCTTAGAAAGATCTTGTAATTGCTTTTCAAAAATCCAATCTAATTTAAAATGTCATGAGCCCTTTGTCCATTTTGGATATGCTGGGGTGGCTCTCTACCTCCACTCCCACCCCCTTACCCACAAAGTTCCTGCAAAGTAAATAAGCTTTGATGGTTTGGGCAGTTGGCAGTAGCAGATGGCCTTTTTCTTGATCTTTAGTTGGACTGCCTCTGTCCTTTTTGAAGAACGAGTGTGAGTTCTGGGAGACCAAGGACCTTGTCTGTTCAGTTCAGTGCTGCATCTCTACCACCTAGCATAAAAACCAACAAAACAGCACTGTTGTTGGGTTGATTCCGACTCCTAGAGACACGACTCCCATTGTTTTTGAGATTGTAGACCTGCATAGGAGCAGGTAGCCTCCACCTCCTCCCACTCACTGGCTGGTGGATGTGAACTGTTGACCTTGTGCAGTTCAGCATCTAACTCACCAGATATTCAGTTGACAAACTGCTGCATGAGTAACTTGGGCAGAAGAACAACGATCAAGAGGTCATAGCTTTCCAGGCCGTAAGTAATGTGCACAGTACAGGGAGAAGCCTGAGTTGGACCCTAGTCTCCAGTTAGGATTTCTCATTTCACTTTGATCAGCTTGCTGGTTTGCTATCAACAGTCACGAAATCTTCCTAGACTTTGTAGTACTTAGGTATAGATGGTGACATTTGGGAAGGGCTGGGAAAGAGAATGGACCTAACCATTCAGAAGCAAAAGGGTTAGTCTGAAAGTGATTTGAATCATGATATCAGGAACCATTTCAAGGATGAGATGGCTTTCAGGAAGCTGGTCAGCTATTCATCCTACTGCCAGGATACTTAATAACATTTTATGGGGAGCAAGAAGTATTTCCGTAGTGTCTTGGTATTCATTCATGGATTTTTGAGGGGAGAAAAAGTAGGGATGTTCTTTTTCATCTGTATTCTCTATAGAAACATGGTCTGGGTGATTTATAGAGATGAGTTTATCTATTTATTTATTTTTACAGATGAGCACCGGCTTCACAGCGGCAAACTCTGTCTGATTATCCTCACATGTATTGCTGAGGTACGTCTTCTGATGTTAGCTAATCTCTTATAAACTGCTATCTTTTCCTGACATTATGCCCCAGTTCTTGTCTCTTGACCTCAGGGTCCAAAATCTGGGGAGAGGAATTCTTTCTTCTTTGTATTAGTAGTGAATTGTCATATGACAGCTGCTTCAATTGAAAACTGGCAAATTCTGACTCCCCAGAGTTTAAAACAAGATAGTTACCATAGATACTTGAATATAAGCCGAGTTTTTTAGCACAACCTTAAAATTTATTTATTTATTTATTTATTTATGAATAATTTTATTGGGGGCTCTTACAGCTCGTATAACAATTCATAAATCAATTGCATCAACCATATTTTTACATATGTTGCCATAATCATTTTCTAAACATTTACTTTATTTTTTTCCACTTGATATAGTTTTTATTTATTTATTATTATATTGTTTAATGCTCTTATTGAGGGCTCTTACATCTCTTAGCACAATCCATACATTCCTCCAATCTGTCAAACACATTTGTACATATGCCGCCACCATCTTTTTCAAAGCATTCTCTTCCCACCTGAGTCTCTGATATCAGCTCCTCATTTCTTCCCCCCCCCTCACGAATCCTTGATAAGTTATAGATTATTTTTTCCATATCTTACATCATCCTCTGTCGCCCTTCACCCACTTTTCTGTTATACGTCCCCCTGGGAGTGGGTTCTAGGTTGATCCTTGTGATCGATTCCCCCTCCCCCCTTCCCCTAATCATTCTAGTATCTCTACTCTCCTTGTTGGCCCTGAGGGGTTTATCTGTCCGGGATTCCCTGTGTTTCGGGCTCTTATCTGTAGCAGTGTGCATGTTCTGGCATAATCCGATTTGTAAGGTACAATTGAGGTCATGATAGTGGGGGGAAGGAAGCACCAAAGAATTAGAGGAGAGTTGTGTGTTTCATCTGTGCTATACTGCACCCTGACGGGCTCATCTCTTCAATGTGACCCCTCTGTGAGGGGATGTCCAATTGTCTAAAGATGGGCATTGGGTCTCCACTCCATGTCCCCCAATCACCTTGGGTATGGTTTTATTCTGTGTCTTAGATACCTGATACCTGATCCCATGACACCTCATGATCACACAGGCTGGTGTTCAGCACATTTTAAAAGCAGTTTTTGTGGTAAAATTAGGTGCCTCGACTGATAGTCAGGTCGGCTTATACTCAAGTATATGCGGTATACTCTTTATGGCTGGTTGGGGGAGATGCAATCCTGTCCCCTTTGAAGTTATTCATTTTGGGTCTTTTGCATTTAGCAAATTGGAAAAAAAGGAGCCTCAGGCATCCTACTGGAAAAACCGAAAAACCAAAGCCACAGCCATCAACTTGATTCTAACTCATAGAGACCCTGTAGGGCAGCGGATCTCAACCGGTGGGTCGTGACCCCTTTCACAGGGGTCGCCCAGTTCATAACAGTAGCAAAATTACAGTTATGAAGTAGCAGTGAAAATCATTTTATGGTTGGAGGGTCACCACAACATGAGGAACTGTATGAAAGGGTCATGGCATTAGGAAATTTGAGAACCACTGCTCTAGGGAGAGCAGAGAGTACACTAGAGAGGAGAGTCAGAAACTTTTAAAGTTGGGGGGTTGCATTTTGGTGTAGAAGAACAACTGTGGTGGTGGGGGTGGGGTGCTTTATAGGAAGGCACCTTTGGTTGGTGTCATTCGAATGGATCCTGATGGCAAGCAGGTATGACAGAACTTGAGTCAGATTTTGGCCCACATTATTGCTACAGTTCCTCCTCTCCATTTCTTTCTTGCCTCTTTTCTCTCTCAAGAAAAAAATAGCAAGGGAAGTCTACCTGGAAGCCGAGATCTCTCTGTCTTGTCCCTTTTATGTTCTCTGTGAAAAGATGCCCTACTTTTCACAAGGTGAGGGGCAGCTGGTTCTAGAAGAGCTGCTTATTAGCAGTGGACCTGGTGTAATTGCTTTTCAAAAATCTTTCTAAGAAAATCTTTATAGGAGTTGCTTTTCACAGATTGTAACAGTTCCGAGTAATTGGAGTCTGTAGGCATGTCAGATCTTCACAAAAGGTGTTGGGAAAGGGCCAAGGATGTTTATTACCAATCCACATGAGTGTTTTTGATTTTCCATCAGTCTTCAGCTAAGTCAGGGATTAGGGATCGACAGGGTCTTGCCTGCTGCCATGCAGCCTGCGTAGCATTTCTTCCCTGCTGTATGGAGCCCATTCCCAGCAGACCTTTCTTCTTATTCACAGAGCCTCATGTGGAGCCTGCACATGCATCCTGTGGACACTTTGAAACTCTTCAAGCTGTCACAAACAGAGCTGGCACCTTGGGCAGATGGGAAGGAAGGAAGAATAGGCAAACATTCCTCTGAGCATTTGCCTCAAGTCCCTGCATCTTAATTTTTTTCATTTGTAATTTACTTAGAGAATTTTGACCAGTTAGACACACGGGAAGTTATATCTAAGTAAAATCTCATGGCTTAAGGAGAGTTTGACATAAAGGCTCTAGGCACATCCTAGGAGCTTTCCAACTGAGCCTTGAAAATTGTTTTTAAAGCCCAAGTCTTTGTAGGAAACGTGGTGGTTTACAAACTGAGTTTTTTAAGTGTAGCTCTCACATCTTTCTCTACATCTTTTGTTTTTATTAGGATCAGTATGCCAATGCATTTTTACATGATGACAACATGAATTTTCGAGTAAACTTACATAGAATGGTAGGTGTGACTTTTGCATCTTTTTTTTTTTTATTCGGAGAGGAAATTGTGTGTGTGTGTGTGTGTGTGTGTGTGCGCGTGTGCGCGCGCAGGGGATGAGGGGTAGATGGAATTGATTCTGCTAGAACAAAGGTGGGTGGAAAAGCTACACTGAGGGCTCTGGCTTGGCTTTGCTGCTGAATAAACTCATGCCTATTATGAGGAAGCTCATTCTTACTGAAGAGAGGATGGAACAATCTACAGCTTGATAGTCATGATAGTAATATTGGAAATGTATTTGAAACACAGGTTTCAATAAGGAGATGAGCCTAAGCCTTTTGTCTTTAAGATGTAGTAAGATTTTTGGGGAAAAAATTTTTTATTAATAAGAGATACTGCTTTTATTGATCTGAGAGTTGGAAGAAATAGAACATGTAGATTTAGGGAACTTCCTAAAGCATGGAGGCGTGTTCAAGAATTACATTTTAAAAGCTTATGTTTGAAATTACTTTTGTTTCCTGTTGCTGCTCCCACACTTGTTGCCTCTCCCTCCTCTTCTTTTTCTAAATTACTTCATTACTAAAGAAAAAAATACCACTGTACCTCTCTTATAGTTAGTAATGTCACTTATTTAGATGAATTGAAAATAAGAACAACAGCTTTGCTTTTGTAGTGTGCTCTAGAGCAGTTTGGGGCTGTTGTCTTGCTGAGAGTGGTGATTTTGTTATAGCCTCCCTTGATAAGGGAGAATCAAATGCAAGCCCTCCTTGTCCCACCCTGCTCCTACCCACTAAAAAAAAGAAAGAAAAGGTAGCATCTTTGCCAGAGCTGTTACTTATCTGAGAGTGATTGGATTCCCATGAGAGAAATGATGATGAGCTATTGTATGGCAGTTCAGGTGTCCACTCATTTCTTCTTTGTTTGTGTCTGAAGCCGATGAGACACAGGAAGAAGGCAGCAGACAAGAATCTTCCCTGCCGACCTTTAGTGTGTGCAGTACTGGGTGAGTGAGTATCATCAAAACTGTCATTTTTATCCAAGTTAGCTGCAGTGTTTTCAGGATTAAGATGAAGGATAAATCCTGATTGATGTGTTTCTTCCTCTGATAAGAAGTTATTAGTTTTGTTTCTGACCTAAGAAGTTGTGTTTTTATTGTTATGTTTGGCAAAACAACCCCCGTGAACAAGTAGTCAATAAAATGGCATGGTTGTGGAAAGAAACTCTTTCCCAGGAGACAAATGTCTATGACTAAGCTTGATGCATAGTTTATATTTGTAGAAAATATCCTATTTGATCAAGATTCCAGATTCTTCTTTTCTTAGCCCAAATTGATGACTCAGCTGGCCAGGAAACTCAATGTCCAAGGTTCAGGAATGCAGAATTCCTCTGAGTAAATAAAACGTGGACGAGGCTGACAAAGCTGATAGGTAGAGGGCTGTATCTTGGATACTTTTGTTTGCCCAGAATTCTGCATTTTCCTCAGGGGAGTTATCTGAACTTTTAATTCCTTCTCACTTAGATATTCCACCCTGGTTCCTAAATTTACTTGATTTTAGAAACAGCAATTAAGACTATATAATCGGCCTCTATTGACCCAGAACCCCACAGACCAGTTCAGTCAATATCTGTCAAAGCGAGTGTGATAGTGAGATGAGATAGACTGACAGCTGTAGAGCTGAGTCTCTGGTTACACAGATGTGATCCATAATTTCTACTCTGCTTGCCTCAGAGCTCTGTACTCAGAGTGTGATTTCCCTCTGGCATTTTGCATGAGTGCCATGGTGTGAAATATCTGTACTGTACAATGAAATCTTCCTTGTAGCTAAGTTTATTGACAGGTGAAGGCATTGGTATGGAAGTCGGGGAGTGAACTGATTTTCTTGTTACTTTACAGGTGGCAGGTGGTGAATGGGTTGCATCATGTGCCTCGTATGAGATAAATTTAAGTGCATGTGAAGACAGAGGTGCTTAGTGGATCTCATTCAGCTTAAGTGCAAGGTGGATTCACTGTCTTTTTTCCCACTCAGAGGCATTCTGATTGATGTCATTTTTCTCCTTTCCACTTGCAGACTTGATGGTAGAGTTTATTGTAACACACATGATGAAGGAGTTTCCTATGGATCTCTATGTGTAAGTACTGTGGCTTGTTTAATGTCAGCAGATCAGTTCTTGAGAATTGAGTGACAGGAAATTGTACAGTCACAGATTGCTCTATCTACTTCACTTGAAGGAAAACACATTTAGGTGTATGGGGAAGTGTCAGGAAACAATGTGCGGCTGGAATTTCTCCTTCTCACCAGAAGGGGGAATATGACAAATTACAATTGGGTTGTGCAGATACCTTGAGTATCACTTTTGGGTTAGCGGCTCCGAGTCGGTTCTGACTCAGCAGCAGCCCTCTGAACAGTGGAGGGAAATAGCCCCCTCGTCCTGGGCCAGCCTCACACTCGTTCTTCTGTGGGAGTCCATTGTTGCAGCCACTGTGTCAATCCGTCTTGTCGAGAGCCTTCCTCTTTTGGCTGCCCCTCTACTTTCCCAAGCATGATGTCCTTTTCCAGGGACTGGTCTCTCCTGGCATGTCCAAAATCCATGTTGAAGTCTCCCAGCCTTGTCTCTAAAGAGCATTTTGGCAGTACTTCATCCAAGGCAAATTTGTTCGTTTTTTTTTAAGCACTTGTGATAGGTAGGTTTATTGTGCCAAGGTCTTGTGTCTCTAGAGAAGCCTGTCTAACATAGCAGTCCATATTACTTTGAATATTTTCACCAGCACCGTGATTCAAATGCATATGCATATGAGGCATGAAGATCCATGGCTTGGCACGGGTGCACCTTAGTCCTCAAAGTAACTTCCTTCCTTTTCAACACTTTGAAGAGGTCTTGTGCAGCAGATTTACAATGCAGTGTGTTGTTAGATCTTTTGACTGCTGCTTTCTCTGAGCATTGACTATGGATACAAATAAAACAAACTCCTTGACAAGTTTACTCTTTTCTCCAGATATGATGTTGTGAGGATTTTTGTTTTCGTAACATTGAGTTGTAATCCTTGATCTTCATCAGCAAGTGCTTCAAGTCCTCATTTTCAGCAAGCACGTTTGCTTCATGTGCATATCGCAGGTTGTTAATAAACCTTTCTCCAATCCTGATTGTCACATTCTTCTTCTTTTAGGCCAGTTTCTCTAATTATTTACTCAGCATGCAGATTGAATAAGTATGATGATATTAACTCCCAATAAAATGGCTTAAGAAGAAAAAAAGTATGATGAGATTACAACCCTGATACACACCTGTCTTGCTTTTAAAGCATGTAGCATTCCCTTGTTCCGTTCGTACAACCGTCTCTTGATGTATATACAAGTTCTGCAGCAGTACAGTGAAGTGTTCTGGAACTTCCTTTCTTCTCAGAGCTACCAATAATTGGTCATGTGTCAGAGGAAACCAGCCTCCACCAACTGGAGGACCAGTAGGTGCAATTGTATGGCGATAATATATAGAGATTATAGTAAAGTCATAGAGGATAAGAAAGATAGGAGCAAGAGTGAAATAAAGGAGTCAGACACATTTATGGTAGCATGCTCACCTCAGCTCCTGTTGATGGACCATGTGGAACTGGGAGAAGTGAGCAAGCCTTTACTTACTGGGGACATTTATAGGTTACCTAAGACATGCATATTCAGTAGTTACATGGGTCGCAAGGTGGGTGGTGACTACATCAAGGTCCCTGAGCTCATAGGTGAGGAAACCTAATACCTGCATTAGGAGGAAGGTATGAGGGGAGTTGGGTGACTATGAGAGGAGGTAGCAAAAGAATGTCTGCTTCTATAGTTAAAGCTGCAGGCTACATAGCAATTAGCCATGTGTTCACTTTAAGGCAGCATAGCTGGTAAGGGCAAACTCTGTAGGAATGAAATTTTAAAGCAGGATAATGTACTTTGACTCTATCTCTAACTTACCAAAGTGGAGGCTCTCCTACCTGTTGAATACTAGCTTTTCAGAGTCTCTGAGTTAGGGATATAGTCCTCATCATATTTCCCTCAGTGTTAGTTTCCTACAGTTAAGATTCACACTGTTGAATGTCTTTGCGTAGTCAGTGAAACACAAGTAAATCTTTTGGGTATTCTCTTCTTCCAGCCAAGATCCATCTGACATCAGCAGTAACAACCCTTGATGTTGTTAATTCGATCCAATATAAATAGTCCTTAAATAGGCATAATGTTCAAGACAACTCTTTCTTACTAGTTAAGCTAAATTATTATTTGGTTTTTAAAAGACATAAGATATTTTTGGTTAAAGTTTAAAGATGATATTAGGACAGTAGTTTCAGGAGTTGATTTGCCCTCCTTGGCTCCAGAAAATCTAGAGTCCGTGAAAATGTGAAATTCTGTTCTGCATCCCCCGCCCTTGCCCTGCATTTTGATTAGGATTCTGTGGCAATCAAAATGTTCAGTTCTTCTGGCCTCATGGCTCGGAGACAGTTATTCATGGAGGCTATTAGGTACATAATCCATATTCTTTTTTTTTTTTTTGGCTTGTGTATACCACAGTTTCTCCCTCCCCCTCCAGTTTTTAATAGTCATGGAGAAGTGATGAATTGAGATGAGTACAAAATAGTGGAAAGTCTTTCAAGTCAGTTAATGCACCATTGTCTTTGGAAGGGTCGAACTGAGGATAGAAAATGGAAAAAAGAGTGTATCAGTGAGACAAGACAAGCACAAAAGTTGCCTGCCCTTCATCTCCAGCTCTGATTGTACTGCCTGCTACACATTCCATATTCTTGACTCTCCTCCTTCCTCTGTGGTTCCAAGTGATTAGTGACCAATTGTTATGCTTTGGATGGTCACCTATAACCAAGGCACTATACCAGGGGTCCTCAAACTTTTTAAACAGGGGGCCAGTTCACTGTCCCTCAGACCCATTGGAGGGCTGGACTATAGTTTATAAAAATACTATGAACAAATTCCTATGCACACTGCACATATCTTATTTTGAAGTAAAAAAACAAACGGGGCAAAAACACCCAGCGAGCCAAATAAATGTCCTCGGTGGGCTGCATGTGGCCTGCGGGCTGTAGTTTGAGGACGCCTGCACTATACAATGAATTAGGTAGAACATAAACACTAAAAATGTTGTTAGGCCAATTTATTGGGTTGTTTTATGAGACCCTGTCCCTGAACTTCCAAACCAAGGAACCCAGTCTTATATGGTATTTGGTATACATAAGCAACTTCAGCAGCCACTCTTTTTTTTTTTTTTGTAGTCATTGTAAATATATCACACAACTTTTACCAATTTGACTCTTTACAGGTGTGCAGTCTATTGACAGTGGTTATAATAATCAGCTGTACAACCTTACCTTACCCTTACTGTGATTCTTCCATCATTGTCATCCTCTTTCGCTCTTAGCCCTGGTAATCACTAAGAAACATTGTTCTCTGTATATTTACATTTTGTCTTTTTATATGAGTGAGGCCATACAATATTTGTCCTTTGTGATTGGCCTATTTCAGTCATCAGTGTCTTCAAACTGTATCTGTACTGTACCATTTTTGAAGACTTCATTTCTCCTACTGGCGGACGACTTTTTCATTGTATATATGAACCACATTTGTTTATCTGATGGACATCTAGGGTGCATTCATCTTTTGGCGATTATGAATAGTGCTTCAATGAATCTGCTTTCAGGTCTTTGGAGTATATAGCGAGGAGTGGAATTACTGGGTCACAGGGTAGTTCTGTTTTCAGTTTTGAGGTCTTCCCACCCTTTTCCTCAGCAGTTATAGCATTTTGCACTCCTACTAGCAATAGATAAGGGTTACAATTTCCCTCCATCCTCACCAACATGTGTTATGTTCTGTTTTTTATCCTAGCCATCCTCCTAATCAAAAATACCAAACTCTCTGCCATTGAGTTGATTTCATAACCAACTCATAATGACTCTATAGGACAGGATAGAACTGCCTTTTGGGTTCCCAAAGCTGTAACTCTTTACAGGACAGAAAGCCTCTTCCTTTTTCCAAAGACGAATTGGTGGGTTAAAACTACCGACTTTGCGCTCAGCAGCTCAACACATAACTCACTACACCACCAGGGCTCTTTTAGTCATCCTAGAATGCCCTCGCGGCATAGTGGGTGAGAACCCACCAGCACCTGTGCGTGAGAAAGATGAGGATTTCTGCTCCTGTACAGAAGTACAGTCCCAGAAGCCCACAGGGACAGTTCTGCCTGTCCCGCAGGGTCCCTGAGTGAGAAGTGACTGGACAGCAGTGAGTTTGGGTTAATTTTCATTTGGAGTGAGAACGAGTTGGTATCTCATTGTGGTTTTGACTTTCTTCTCTTTGGGAGATAATAACACTAAGCATCTTTTCCTGTGTCTGGTGGTCATTTGATGTCTTCTTTGGTCAAATTCTGTTCAAGTTGTTGTGCCTTTTTTATGATTGGGGCAATTGTGTTTTTTGTGTTAAGTTTCAAAGTTTTACATGTCTTTTTGCATGTTATTAGATTCTTTTTGTATATATGGTTTCTGAGGATAGTCTCCCAGTGGATAGCTTGTCTTTTCACTTTTCATGATAAAAAATTTTAATGCAAGAAAACTTTTTGTTTCTTTTTTTTAATTAAAAGATCATTTTATTGGGGGCTTTTTCAACTCTTATTATAATCATCAATGGCATCAGACATGTTTGTACATATGTTGCCATCATTCTTTTCTAGACATTTACTTTCTATTGAGCCCTTGGTATCAGCTCTTCTTCCTCCCACCCCATGGCCCTTGATAGATTATAAATTATTATTCTTTTCCTATCATACCGACTGCTGTCTCCCTTCTCCCATGGTTTCTGTTGTTCTTCCCCCTGGAGGGGGTTGTATGGTTATGTGACGATCATTGTGATCGGCTCCCCTTTTCTCTCATCCTCTCCCCACCTTCCACCTACTCTTCTGTTGTCAGTATTCCCACTCCTGATCCTGGATTCCATGTGACATGAGCTCCCATCTCTTATCTATACCTGTGTGCATGCTCTGGTCTCATCTGAATTGAGAAGCAGTGCTGGAGTCATGATAGTGGGGGGTGAGGAAGCCTCAGGGAACCAAAGGAGTATTGTGTGTTACATCCATGCTTTACTGCACCCTGGTTGACT